CATTGATTTGTTAAATTGAAGCTTCTTGTCTACAGATTTTTGAAAGCTATTTTCCTAGATATTATCGATTCTAAGTAAAGTAATATTTGTTGTATTACTTAATTGATGTGTAATCAATGCTAATTTAGTATTTTGATTTGAGTTAAAAATGGCTCTTGAGTACATTCAGATTCAGTTATATCATCCTTGCACTAATGAATAGGCAACAGCATTATATGGAACCTTGCAAAATCTGATTCAAGTAATATACAAAAAAAATGTCAACATATGAGCTCATAATTAACTAATAAAAGGCAAGTATATAAATGATATTTATTTTTATACAATCTAATGTAATGAACAGACTTGGTTGAAATACAACATATAATTCTCCAAACTTCTTTAATAGAAGAATATTTATTTTCTTTAATTAAAGCCAATAAATATGATTACAGAACATCATATATGTTTTCAATAAAATCATTATCATATATAACTTATTGTAAATTTAATGAATCAGAATTCCACGACTATAAAATAGAGTAGTTAATTAAAATAGCAAATAACAATAAAAATAAACACCAATATCATCAACATACATTTAATATTTGAGCCCAGTAAATAGTCAATTGAACTATCTGCTTTTGTTGCTTAGTTGCTAAATTTGGTGTTAAATACTTATTTATTTGTTGAATGACTTGTGAAAAAACACTTTGTAAAATGAGATTATCAGTATAATTAATGTGATTCTGAGACCACGAATTAAAATGTTGACTAAGATTTTTATACTCAATATGTTAGTGTATTGCTTCTATTACTTGTAATAAAGTTGATGAACTATTTATAGCAGTTTTAATATGATTATTAAGTCCTTCAACTCTTTGAGTCAATTGCATTCTACCAGTAAAAATTTTAAATATATAAGTACATACCCACGATTCTTTACTTGAAAATAGCTTTCGTAGATATAAAGATGCAACCGAATATTTATTTCAAAGATTTGTAAATCTTGCTTTAAATACACTTTCACTTAAACTATTTTGCGCTAAATAAAAATCTTTAATAAACTCCATATATTGCTCATCAAGCTTACTTCGAAGATTTTTTAAAAGGTTCTGATTTATATGATACAAACAAAATAAATGTTTAATATTCAGAAGATCATAAGCTACAACATATTTTATAGAAAGATCTTCATCTGTCATTAAAATTTTTGGCAAAATTTCAGTTGTTTTTTTTAATTGTCCCATAACCTAACAAAAAGATTCAATAGTTTCATTAGGCATTAAAGTCTATATTGCGATTCGTGTTTTATTATGGTTATCAATTAAAACAAAAAGACACAAAAAAAATTATAATGGTTTGTTTGTACCATATTGTTTTGAACTATTATGTCACAAAACTAAATCTATCTTTTATGTTGACTCAGGTCTATTCAAAAAATTCTACAGAGACAATTGCTAATAGAATCAATTAAGAGTTCAATATACCAATTAGGATTCTTTTCTCTATATTCATAAAGCTATTTTAAAAGCTGCGATGCTTCACTTCCTTCTATATTATGTTCTTATTGTAATTGAGCCACAACATTTGCAAGATCACATATTAAGAAAAGTTGGTTGGGGTATTTAACAAATAGAAGAGATCATATTGTAGACAGGTCAAACCAACTATTTACTGCTAAATAGCAAATTTCTTTATGACAATTATCAGAAAATTGATAATTTACAGGAGCAAAAATTTTGATATCAGGTAAAAGTTGATGCTCAATATGCTTATCATTAAAACTAGTGATGTGAACTACACCAGTTGCACATGACAAATTAACTTTCTAATCACAGTTAAGTTTTTTAGAACCTTTATTATGTTGATTTTGTAAGTTATTAGTTTTCTTTGGTTGATATGTTCCACTAAATTCACACTTATAATACAGGTTTATTAAACATCTATTACAATCAGTTTTATTACATATCTTAATTGCTACAAATCCTTTTTAACAGCCATATTTAGCAACATAATGTTCTGCAATTGACCAGTTAAGAAAAGTATCACTAATGGCAAATACAATTGCTTTGTTAATGTGAGGTAATGTGCTATTAATTCCAACCAAATCTTGTCCTTTATAGGTTTTATGCATTTCATCATGCACTTTATATGTTTTATCATACATTTCATCATACATTTCATCATATATTTCATCACACATTTCATTACATGTTTCATCACATAATGTTTCTTGAAGGGAGTCCATTAATTCTTGAAAAGAATTTGTTAATCCTTGATAAGAGCCTATTACATTATGAGAGGAATTCATTACTTTTTAAAAAATATCCACTAATTCATAAACAGATTTTAAAAATTCTTGAGGAGAGGGAACTATGTTATGAGGAGAATTCATTACTTTTTGAGGAACATCCACTAATTCATAAGCAGATTCTAAAAATTCTTGAGGAAAGCGATCTAAATTTGAGACTTTATGTCTTATAAAATATTTTGCATTAAAAGTAAGTTCCATAAATCATAATTGTTCAGAGTAAAAAGGATCAAAAAGAAAGCTAAAAGTAATATCTGCACAGAAAAACAACTACAAAAAAGAATTAAAGGTCAATAGAATGAAATAGTTAATGCTTAAAAAATAAAGATAAGTTAAATTCAGAAAAATATTCTTATAAACATAAACACCATAATATTCATACCATTTTACTCAAAAAAGCTACACTTTAATCTGGCACTTCAATTAGAAAACCACCTAATAACCTTATGAAGGTATAAAAAATGCTACACAAGATTTTTGTTAAAAGCCAAAAAGCCACCAAGTGACTTTGTAACTGTAAGAAGACCACCTCAATCTTAAGTAAGAAAACCCATTAATAAAGTTTAACATATTTTACTAACTATATTTATGAAGGTAAAAAATGTCTAATACTTAAAATTACACGATATCTTTCTAAGGCAAAAAGAAAGCTGCTCACAATAAAATCACTTAACACCTTTATAAAGCCAAAAGTGCTATCCTTTATAATAACAGAAAGAACCTTTAAACATATTCATAAAGAAGAACCTGTTAATTTAAAGTTTGCTTAAATGCTATCTCATTAATATTATGAATGCAAAAACTACCTAATACTTGACTAAAGTAAAATGAGCTACCAGACACCTTGTAAAGAAAATCAAAGGCTGCGTAATAGTGAAAGGACACCTGGTATTTGTAAAGGCAAGAAATACTGAAGAAATTTAGTGTCTACTATTGCGAATCAAAAAAAAAGACTGATGTCTTGATCAAAGTGAAATAAACCACTAAACATCTTGTAAAGAAAGAAAAAGCCAAATAATGCTTTCACAGAGCAATAAGACATCTGGCATTGTTGTAAAAACAAGAAGTGCTATTAAACAAATTTAGTGACTACCATTTTACTGACATTACGATTTAAAAAAAATGCCAGCACCTTAGACTAAAGAAAAGCTACCTATCTTTGTAAAAGAAATATTTTGTAAGCACTCAAAAAATCTGTGCCAGGTTTTTCAATCATTATAGCGCAGGTTCCTAATCCACAAATCAGATCTCAAGATTCAGATATAATATAATATAATCAAAACAAGCATTTATTTTGTCAAAAATTGCTTATTTCTCAAAAAACAAGTATAAAAAACCACTTAAAGTACCATAACAAAAAAAAATTCATTAAGTGATTTTACTATATAAATGTCTAATCTCTAACTTTATTCTAAGTACCAACCCTAATATTAATAAATTTTAAGAATTTTTACTATATCACAGTGATCAACAAAACCTGATACAGATTTTTTGAGTACATTTTGTAAATAGAGAGAGCCACCTAACACCTTATAAATAGTAAAAGCCACCCAACACCTTTGTAAAAGTAAAAATCACCCAATGCTTTTGTAAGCAAAAAAAAGTTAACAGTTATTTCGATATTTATAAATAATCAAAATAACATGATATTGAAAGTTTATATATGCCAAATTGAATTATATAATACAGTACGATATATAACATGGTGTTATATATATAATATTTTTACAAATAATTAGTAACATAAATATGATTAACAAATTTTATTAAAATAATATATATTAAATCTTAAACTAAAAATATATATATATATATATTTTTTTTTTACCTTCGCAATGTCGCAAAAGGCGAATTTTTATTAGGTATTTAGTAATACATTTAGGTTACACCTCTTGTACCACCACTATAATTACACTAGCCTATAACCTTGTGCTGCTTTCATTGAAGACTACTCAGATTGATATGTGCTAAACTACTTGTACCCTAATTCTATAGATAACTCAGTAGGATTCTTGTACTACCAGGTTGCCCTAGGGAGGGTGTAGTATATAGCCCCTAATCTTTCTATATTCCACACATTTCCAAACTAGGCTTTTTGGTAATTTACACCGAGCTGAGGCCGCTACAGTTACCTACTACTGCCTTTGCAGAGTTCACTTAGACCTCGGTACCTACTTTACAGACTCTCTCTTATATTTTCGGAAACTCAAACTCCCAATCTAATGGCCCGGAAGAGCAAAACTCTTCCTCTGATTGTCTGTTGGCCTGGTTAGTATAGTGCTCTTGTTAAACATCTTGGTCCTGTCCAGTTTTTCAGTATCCGGTTGGTTATTCTACACATAGTAACTATTGAAGATCTGTGCTACTTCTCTACTCAAGTCTTGCCAAGTGGGCTCCTATATCCTGTCAATCCGCTAGATTTATTTGGTAGCTTCACTCAGGTTTTATGTAACTTATACATTACACTACATATTCCACTACCTCCCAGTACAAGCTGGTGCGACCCCATTACAGGTTCTATAACCTAATAGGATACAGTCTTTCCAAATGCATTTTTTGTAAATTCAAATTTTCATTGCTAATGAGATTTAAACTCTGGTCCTGCCGCTTGGAGGTGAAACAACTTGCCAACTTCACTAAGTCGCTACACCTCTAAAATATATTTTATATTCATGCAATCAAATGATAATCAGATGATTGTATAGTATTTTGCATAGACTGATATTTTTAAAGATTCAAATCTAATCCAAAATACAAATACAAATTAGAATTTGAAACTGTCATATAAATCCAAATTTAACTATATTTGTACAAGATTACCTATAAAAAAAATATAGCTGATACTATATTTTCAATTGTATATATAGTATTTTTGTATATATTGTATGATTTTTAATTTACGTAATTATTTTATCATGATATATTATATACAATATATATTTTATATACAAGTAATGTCATCTGTATTTTTTTTTATAGGTGATGCTAGGTTTGCTTTATTTTTCAGCAATCTGTTCTTGTTTAAACATAAAAACACTATAGTTTAAATAGATACCAATCAAAATTCCAACAAATATAATTCTAACAGGTTATAATTCCAACAATTCCAATAGTCAGAATTTTCAAATAGAAACTCTGGTATATTTAAAGTGAAGTAGACTCTTATAATTTAATGAATTTTTGAATTAGGTCACTTCAATGATTTATTCAAACTATTTATTCAAATTATTTATTCAAATTGTTTATTCAAGAATTTATTTAATGAATAGAAGCACACTGTACTACTGATAGTATATTGTACTATATTGTGACAGTTTTTAAAAACTTATATCTACCAATTGAATAAGCTGCCTAACCTTATATTAAGTAATTACTTTTTTCTTAAGTAGATCATTGCATACAATTGGTTAGACCGTATATTTTGTACAGAAAATTCACATGTAGCTGAGATTGATCTGTGACATTAAGCTAAAATATAATACTCTTGATTATGTGAATTTAGATAGGCAAAGCATAAGTGAAATGATGTAATAAATAATTAATAAGAAATTAGCAAAGTCTCAGAAACGTAGGTTGGTCTTTCCAAATTTTTTTTTTCTTGTTGTTATTATTAAAAATTTTCTCATATTAAAAGAATACTAAAACATGAAAAAAAATTGATCAATAAAGTATATGATTAAAAATTATTGTATTAGAAATAGCAAGATATGCATCTAACAGGTCAAACTTCTACGAAATATTATTACAAATAATATATAGCTCATAGCAAACTTTTTTTTTTTTATAAAAAATTTTTTTTTTTATAAAAGTTTTTTTTTTTTTATAAATTTTTTTTTATAAAAGTTTTTTTTATGAAACATACTTCATATATCAAAGAAGATTCTAAAATAACTATCTTAGGATCAATTATTAGCAAAACAAATGCTTTTCTGCTTTTTGAAACTAAGTGGAGAACTATGCGATTTTTTGCTACAGTTCTATATACAGTGCCTAGTAAAAATTATTGAGTAATCAGTCTTGATGAAAACCCAGAAGTGGAAATTGAAGCTGCAGCAACTTGTATAAAGTTTGTAACCAATAAAGAAGGTTCAAGTCATAGTCTTTGCAATGGCAACAATAATGTATCAGCTGAATCAGCCATTAGTAAACCTGAAACAGATATTTCAAGTAGTAGTAAACAAAGTGAAAGGGAAGAAACAGATGTTAGTAGTAGAAGTAGAATCTTATGGAAGGATTCAATTGTAATAATGATTCTCGTCAGGTTAATCATTCTTATTTATGTGCACCTGTTGTACATATTTCTGATATTGCTCATGTATCTCCAAACCAATTTTTTGAGCATTTTTTACATGTTGAATATATTTTATCAACAGTGATACTATTGACAAATAGGTGTGCATATGCAAGTGAGCACTTTTAAAAAGATTTAACGTAGACAAAATTTATACATTTTGGTAGGTTTTGACAATTATGATATATGTGCAGTGTGCTAATAGCTGAGATTACTAGTTAGTTAAGCAGGAAACAGGTAGTGTTGCATTGAGATTTGGGCAGTATATGTTGCATCAACAATATTAAAATATTATCAAATATTTGATATTAACAAATGCACTAGAAGATAATAATCCTTTTTATTTTGTTTGTAATTTTCATAATGTATTTAATGAAAACCTTTTAAAGGCAATTACACTTGGCAATTATTTTTGTATTAATGAGTCAATGTATCAGTAGATAGACAAAGTTGATAAAGGTCCATTTTAATGTAAAATACCAAAAAAGCCTTATCCAATTGGATGCGAATTTAAAATTGTTGCCAATGCACAGATTAATTTGTTTTTACAATTAGATCCTATAGAGCCTTCACAATATGCTAATAAAAAAAAAATTTTAAATCAATATCTACCAACAATTGCAACTTTATTGCAATTATTTGAATCATAGTTTTATAGTAGTAGGATGATCATTGTGGACTCATGGTTTAGAAACATTGATGGATGTAT